AAGTTCATGGACTCTGGAATCAGACAAGGCTGGGATTTCTACTTCCCTGCATTTTTAACCTTTTCAAGCTTTAATTTTATCACCTACATATGAAAATGATAACTCTTCCTGTGTCATAGGTTAATTGTGGATATTAAATTAGACAATCTATTTAAAGAACTTAGCATAGTCCCTGTCATGTACTAAGTACTCCATAAGCACTAATTGGTATTAGCTAATAGAATACAAAACTTGAGCCTCTCAAAGCCAGAGAGGAACTTTAATTCATTTTCACTGCTACAAACACTTACCAGCGGCAGGATTCCAAAATGAGAATGTGGACCCTAGCATGGGCCTGAGCCAGAGACGTGATAAAGACAGACCATGTGTGCCCCAGCCAGACAGGACAGACCTCAGGGTCCTACCGCCTCAGGTTGGAAGAAACTTCAACCAGACCCTCTGCTACAGACAGTGACATCCAACCCACAGCAGAACTATGATTGCAATGCCCATTTCACTAAGGGAGACCTCTGACTCCTTCAGTAACATTCTATCTATTAAAAAGGAAAGTAATAAACCAAATGTATTAATCATTTGTGAAATTAAGTGGGGATGAGAAAGATAAAGAGGTTGTGGGGGGATGAGTGGTGATGGAAGGAGACTTGTCTTGGGGTAGTGAACACAATACAATATACAGATGATGTATGCTAGAACTGTATACCTGAAGCCTATATCACTTTATAACCAATGTCACCCCAGTGAGTCTAATAAAAATTAAATAATAATTTATGAAGTTAGCCAAAACCGGTTTGGCTCAGTGGATAGAGCGTCGGACTGCGGACTCAAGAGCCCCAGGTTTGATTCCGGTCAAGGGCATGTACCTTGGTGGCACATCCCCTGTAGGGGGTATGCAAGAGGCAGCTGGTTGATGATTCTCTCTCATCGATGTTCCTAACTCTCTGTCCCTCTCCCTTCCTTTCAGTAAAAAAATCAATAAAATATATATTTTTTTAAAGAGTTTATACCTTTAAAAAAATTTTATGAAGTTAAAACAAATCCCCCCATTCTGAATTTTTTTTTATTAACCACAGTTAAGCTACTGATCAAATTTACTTAGAATTAAATGTGGAAATACATGAAGTGTACAGTAGTTATGGGTCAACAAAGTAGGTTACAAGGCAGCATTGAGAGCAGTATTTTCTGCTTACCAACTAATCAGATTCTCTTTAATGCTGTGATAAAGAGGTTTAAAGCTGAGAATTAGATGACTTAGGATCAGTCTTTAAAACCACCCTAACCAATGAGATATCTCATTTCCTTGGGTATGGACTGTTAACGGTGAGTGGGTACCTATAGGAGATAAAGAAGCAAAAATATATTTGAAAGGCCCAACCAGCCTGCTCAGTGGTTGAGCATTGACCTATGAACCAGGATGTCACCATTCAATTCCTGGTCAGGGCAAATGCCCGGCTTGTGGGCTCAATCCCCAGTGTGGGGCATATATGAGGCAGCCAGTCAATGATTCTCTCTCATCATTGATGTTTCTATCTCTTTCTCCCTCTTCCTTTCTCTCTAAAATCAACATATATATATTAAAAGAAAAAAAGAAATCAGTGAAACAATGTTCTCTATTTTCAGGCTTTTCGCTGACTTACCTTTCTCTGCTGTGCTCTGCCTTCTCCCTGATATTTGAGACTCAAATGTCTACACAGGCCAAGCAAGTAACATGATCCAGTGTGCAAACTGTTGGCCAACCATGGTGCCCTGGTGCCTCTTTGCCTTGAGCTAAGGGGGACAGCCCTTACCCAGTTCACCCCGGTGATTTCCATCTGGGAACTGAGCACCTGTTAGCACTTTATTTTTTTTTTTTGAAGATAAAATTCAAATATAAATTTGCATGTGAAATAACCTGACTTAAATACCGGTAACTAATTCACACTTTCAAAGAAGTACTGTATGGGCCAAACAGATTATCTTGGGGGCACCAGTTTGAGTTTTTGCTCATAGGTTTTGATGATCCTGGGAACTCTAGCCCTGAGTTGTCTTTTCATTCTACAATCTTTTCCTAGAAAACCTCATCCGCTCCCATGGTTTAAAATATCTTCTCTACACTGAAGCCTCCCAAATTTCCTGATAGTCACAGCCTCTCCTCTACACTCCAGACTCTACATCTAGCTGCCAATTAACTCCACAACAATGCTGTTTTTATGGGCACCTGAAGCATCGCACGTGCAAAACTCAATTCTTGTTCTATCTCTACCTGTTTGGCTCCCAGTTTCTCCAGTTCAGTAAAAAGTACCCGTGTTGCTTAGGAAATGTGGGAGTCGTTATTTCTCCTCTTTTGCTGCCCTTGTTCAGTCCATCACTTTGCTGTATATTCTTCTTCTCAAATCCTTTTTTAATTTGTCCCCTTATCTCCAGTCCTATTGCCACAGCAAACTGCCATTCTGTTTTCCACAATAGTTTCCCCTGGGTTATCTCTGTCCTTTGTCCTAACGGTCTATTCTTCACTTAACTGCCAGAGAGATCTTTTCAAAATACTAGGTGGATCACATCACTCTCTGTTTAAATGCTCTCTGTGTCTCTACAATGCATGAAACCCAAGAGAAGGAAGTGTGTCAAGTAGATAATGTACTATTGTGTAAAATAGACTGAGAGGATTTTTTTTAACCTGTAAAGCAGTACTAATAATACCTATATCGGAAGGTTGTTGTGAGAATTCAGTAAAGGCCACTGTTATTGCCACATTAGTTTTGTATTGGCCTTTGCAGGAAAGAAGGTAAAAATTACATTGTTCACAGCTACTTCACACTCACCTGCAGAGAACCTTCTAAATGTCTTAGTGACAGCATTTTCCTTTATATGATCATGGTCTCAAAGTAAAACATCTGCCTTGATTAAAGGATAAAAACCTGCTTTTAAAAAGGATGGAGCAGACCAAATTCAGTTGAAAGCATAGAGCACAGTAAAGAATAATTTCGAATGTCTTCAGATAATATTTAATGTTTTGAAATAAAAAAATGATTAGATAATGTGGTTGATGCGATGTCACATCATGAAAAGCAAACCCTTTCTTTGCAAATCTCTATTTTTATTGATTTGAATTCGCCTTTGCTTTGAGCTGTGCAGGAGAGTCCCTTTCCAAAATAGCATCATGACTTCAGCGGCTCATGGCCCATAGTTTTCGCAGTCCCCATGGCCCTTTTTGTTTTTAATTCACACATTCCAATTTAGAAAACACACTTCAGTGAGAACGAATCCGAGAAACCTGCTGAGGCTGGTGGCTGAGGAGCTGGGAGTGAAGGTGAGAAGCTATCTGAGCAGGTGCAGTGAGCTATCCCTATAGAACTCTAAATGGGTGCTTTATCTATGCTGCCTTTTTTCCTAGATTTATATGAAAGTCACAGTACCACTGTGATGAGCTCTTACCTGTATTTCAACATTAAATAAATTATATCCGTGATTATCAGAGCAAAAGTTTTATAACCATCAGCCATCTTCAGTACTTAGACATTTTGCTTGGTCTTTTCATTGCATGTTTATCTTGCAGGATAATTGAGCATACAAGACCTTTTGGTTGTAAAGCTGGCTTTTCTGAAGCTGAGCTCCCCTGATTCCCCTGCTCATACTCCCTAGCTTGACTCTGCATTCCAGTCATACTTAAGGCTCCCTATCACCTCCAGACATCTTCATGTGCTATTGCTGTGCTTAAATGATGCTTCCTTCTCACGCTTCTGGCTAGAATACGATTTACCCTGTAGAATTCAATTTAGTCATTGCACCCTGTCGGAAGCCTGCTTTGATTCAGCAAATGATATGTAGCCCTCTTTCCTGCTGCTGTCACACCAGCCCAGTGCTTGTCCCATTGTCTTGTAATTGACTAGCAGCTACTGGTCAGCCTGCCTACTGGACAGGAATCATCTCACTGTCTCTCCCCTGCATCCTTAGCACCTAGCACAATCCTTAAGAGTGGGGACTCATTATGCCTCGAGTATGTGAATGATATTTGTGAATTGCAGAATGTTTGGGAGTAAAATGGAAAAACAAATTGAACGACAATGACTATGTCTTAAAACCTGAGACAACACTTATTAGCATTTTTTTTTGTTTTCTTGCTTCTAATTAACTTTTTATGTCAAGCTCACTGCACAAAAAGCTTTGAATAGGTTGTCTTCACTTCTCAGTATACTGTGAGCATATTCTAATGTAACTAACTTCTCTGAAAATGTTGCTTAAATGGTTGTAACCAGATGCCCTTTAGAAGTAACATAGTTCATTCAGATATTCTCTATTGTTGGACTTGGTTACATGGAATGTTTTGCTGCTATAAGTAATGATTAAATGAGTGTTTTTGCATCTGATTTTTTCTCTATAATACATTCTGAAAATGAAGTTACTAGGTGAATATTTCACAGTGCCTACCTCCATGTACCCTTAACTATAGGCTATCTTTTTTAAAAAGTAAAGATTTTAGAAACAAAAAGAATAGCTCATTTTTACCTTATATTTATTGATCATTTTTATTATACTCCTCTGTGAATAGTACCATAATAATCTGCCCATTTTCCTATTATTCTGTTAGTTTTCTTATTGATTTAAAAGCTCTCCATATGTTTAAAATACAGTCATTTATAAAATTTTTACAAATTTTCCAGTGTAATATGGGCCTTTTGATCTTTTTGTGTTTTTATTTTTATGCACACTTATAAATCTTTTCTTCTGTGAATTGCTCAATTGTTTTTTTCTTACAGAATTTCTTGCCCTGCTTAGATAGATATTTTCCTACTTTGATATATTTTTTCTAGCTTTATTAGTTTTTTTGTTACATTTAACTTTTTTCCCCATTTAGAATTTATTTTGGGTGATAGTGTGACTCTAATGTTTTTCACAAAATAGTCAACTTTTCTAATATCTTCTCTTGACCTTCAAAGAAATGCTATTAAAGACAACTGTACTAAATAACCGACATCATCTGAAGACATAACTCAGTGTTCACCATGCACTTTCCTCTCTCCTCCCAGGTGAGCAGGAGCCAGCTGTCAGCAGTGACTCTGATATCTCGCTGATTATGGCAATGGAGGTTGGACTATCTGATGTAGAACTTTCCACTGACCAAGACTGCGAAGAGGTGAAATCGTGAGATGGTGAACACAGAAGAAAGGGATGGTAGGACCCATGGGGAAAGGGGTGGGGAGGTGTGCCTGAGACTTGGACCAGGCACACACACCTCCAGAACATCTCGGCATCAGCAGGGCGCTCTGCTCAAGAATGGTCATGAAAAGCAATATCCAAAGTCCAGTTGATCGGGATGCAGTTTCTCCGTCTCTACAACAGCCCACAGCCTCGGCAGCTTGGAAATAGAAAGCCCTTGCAGACACAGAGGCCCCCAACACAGACTGAAGGGACACTTTTGGAGCTTCTGAGTGTTCATTTCAGTTTTTCCTCAGTGTTGTTTTCTTGTTTTGGAATTGTTGTTTGATTTCCTTGGCAGATTCTTTTTAAAGACTGTGTATAGTTTCCTGTAGGTCCACTCCTTTGTTTTTCCTTCGATCCACTCCAGCTTTTACATGGAACTGTGTGTCGAAGCACCCATCCCTGCTGTGATCAGTCCCTGTCAGTCTCTGAGACCTGAGACAGGAGGACCTTGACCTCCTCAGCATGAGTGTGCATGGCTTTGGGAAGGGCCTCGGCACCCTGAAACAGAAGAAGGCCAGCTTTCGTTAAGAATCTAAATTCTTTTCAATGGATCTTAACACTCCCAGCTGCCAGAGACCTCAACACTGAACTCTGAGTGTGCTGAGGCTGCTGCTCATCCTTCTCAATGACATCACACTGGCTCCCAGCTGCCAGGCTCTGTGCAGGGCTGTGGGACATGAGAAGGAAGCTGTAGGGAGGCAGTTTAATTTGTCTGGATCTTACTTACAGTGCGTGGCTGAAACTCTGAGCTCAGAAGACCCCTCCAGGCATTAAGGTCCCTCTCATTGGCTGTAGGACTCATAGCTGGGACTACAGGCCTGGTTTTAAAACCAGGTACCACCCATTCTTCCTGAAAGCAAAATGCCTGTTGTGCTGGCTGCCCCCTCCCCCCTCTCCCGAGGCTAGGCCAGGCTTTGTTACCTCACTGGCTTCTGCAGGAGATGGAGGCTTTAGGAGCGTCCGCTTTGAGCCTGGTGTTCACCACCATGGGGGTCTCACCTTCATTCCAACACATCTGCTACACCTCCCTAGACCTCGAGGGATGTCGGTGAATCTTTACAGGTTGCTTCCCAGTCCAGACACCAAGCGAGGAGGGAGGTAAAAGTCAATGAACCTTCTGGTCTAAAAAGTCCAGCATGGGAGTTGGCTAAGTCAAGTTTCTCCTGACGGAGAGAGACAGAGAAAGAAAAAGAGGTATCTGCATTTTGAAACTGTTATGTTTGTATCTTTTTTTATAACTGTGACAGAAATATGCTATTTTTTCCTGTGGGCAATTTTGTAATCCATTTAGACTCTCCCCACACATATGACTGAAGTGGTGAGCCATGGTCACCTTGACCTCTGTAGGAGGCTGACAGGGACAGGAAGCTGCCTTCCCTGAGTTCTTCGTGCATTGATGAGGCTTTTCCCTCTCCTCACACTAGCACTCATCCCAAAACAGAGTTTGGCTCTGCTGTGAGACCTTGCTGCCTGCTGAAGCAGAGTGTAGGTCAAGGGACACTGCTGGGTGCTTGTTATCACCACCTTTGACCTTTCCTACTTGATGCCTTATGCTCAGGTAGCAAGGCTAAAGGGACATGATTGCCACCTTCAGAAATAACTCATCTGTCTGCGAGTCCAGCCTCTCCTGTGCTGAAATCCAGGGAGGAATGAAGAGGGTGCTGAGGCAGGAGTCAGGAGGCCCAGGTGAACCGCGTGCTTGCTGGGCCTCAACCTTCTTCCTCTGTAACGTGGAGGAATTTAACAAGGTGGTGCCCAAGGTTCCGGTGGCCTTTGGACCACAGGTGAGCAGTCAGCCAGAGGATCCATTTGTTGCAGGTGGCGATGGCAGGTAGCCAGCTTTCCACCTTGGAGAGGCAGAGGTGCTGGGCGTGTAACATAGAGGAACAGCTTTGGGGACTGCGTGCTCCTGGGTTGCTAAGAAGGAACATCTCAATGATTGAAGTTTTCAGCCAAAAGGAGGAGTTGTTTGGTTTCACCTTGTTCTCAAACTGCCATTAGTTACAGAGTTTGCCTTCTCTGGACCCCCTCAAAGCCTGGTCCTCAGTGTGCAATTCTTCCTCTCCTGGAGTTTCCTTTCTCAGTCAGAATGGGCCTGCAGTACCTACTCCTCCTTCTGTCAATGTGGCCCCAAACAAATTTCAGTGATAACTTTAGTCAAGTGGACTTAGACGGATAATTGAATAGCAGAAGAAAGATGCATCGTATTGCTTACCCAGAGAGAAAATGCCTGTGGAGTGCATGGTCCTCTGACCATGGTTCTCTCTTTCTGCCATGACTAGGTGCAGAGGAATCAGTTGCATGTGGCTGCAGCAACCTCTAGAGGGCGCTGTGTGGATGCTGGGGGCCAGGAGGTTCACTGGAGGCCTGTGGGCCTGACCCCACAAAGACTCTGTTGCAAACCCCCTGAATCTGCGAGGTTCTCGTGTTACCAAAGGTCCGTCTCTAAAGATGCCTCCTGTAGCTTAGGTAGCTAAAAAACAACTTTTTTAACCAGCATAGAAGGATGCAGAAAAAATGGAAACAGCCCTTCCCCCACAGTGTTCCTCACCACCTTCCACCAAAGACCTGGGATCCCGTGTCTCATGGAGGGTGTCAAAGGTTAGAGAACCCTCTAGAAGTATATGCAAACTTTCTGCATATTTACTGATTTGCATTTTTCTGTTGTCTCTAGACCAGCACCGTCCAATAGAAATGTAATGTGATTTTAAGTTTTCTACTGGCCACATTAAAAGAAGCGAACATGTAATAATAATTCAATAATATATTTTTTTAATCCAACATTATTGTTTCGACATACAATTCCTGTAAAAAGAATTCATGAAATACCTTCTTTTCCATATTTAGTCCTCTAAAGCCATTGCATACTTTACACTCATGGCGCATCTCAATTTGGATGAGCTACCGATCGGACAGCGCAGGTCTCCAGTTTCCACAATATTTTCACAAGGTTCCCCGGCCCTTACAAAGAAAAAAGGTGAAAACCTAATTACCTCCCAAGAGAACTAGACTCCACCCAAGTTGCCTAATCAGATGCCCCGAGATCCGTTAGTTTGTAATGGATGAATGTTCAGGCCGCTCTTTCTGGAAATTGGACTTTCTAACCACACCACTGATGTTCATTACCAGTTGCTATGATTTCTCTGGCCGTTGTTTTATAGGAAGTCACACAAGCCATGTTGATTTGGTGCTGAAACAAAAGGATATCCCTCACTTTCATGGCAAGCCCTTAGACTTGATATGTGGCGCTGAAGAGCCAAAGACAATCCCAGTCTGGAGTCATCCAACTTGACCTCAACCCCTAGCCATCCTTGTTTTTCTAGGAGTTGCTACCACCTGTTGGCTGGTCTCTTTGGGAAAAACTTACCCCTATCCTGAAGGCAGCACCTGCATATTGATGGAGCCTTCAGGGCTTGTCACCCCTGAAATGTCAACTGCACCATCTAAGCAGGGCGAGGGGAGAGTTTGAGAAGGTAGGAAGTTACCAATGGCAAAGGCACATGCCTATTCTGACATCACATAGTGAGCATAATACCCACAGAGGCAAGTCTCCATCCAAAGAGGTTTGTTGGTTATTTTGTCTTGTTTTCAGCATTTCCCTCATTCTGGTAGAAATGTCTCTGGACGTTCTTGGCTCTGGGTTTGGTCGTATGGAACACCATGGTGCCAGTGGCTATTTGTGTTAATGCCCTGATCTCCTTGCGGCCGCCATGCTTTCAGGACTGAAAATGCTGACAGGGATCCTAGCATAGGATTCTTTCTCATTTATGAGTTTTGTTTAGGTGGGACTTTTCAAAGAGCATGCAGAATAAATGGCATTTAGTTATCCATTGAGTGCCTCGCCTTGACTACACACAAAGAAGTCCCATGAAATCAACTCTTTCAGAAAATCTGCGATGTAGAGTCACACCCTCTATGGAACGAGGACTCAGCCCCAGGGTCCCAGAGGCAATGTCTGGGAGCATGTGTCATGTGCTCTGACTTAGTTTCCTTCCCCTTTTTTGTCTCTGTGTCCAGCTTTCTCTTTCTGCCTGTCTGCTTCTGTGTGTGCACACCTACACACATGCTTCTCTCGTTTTTCAGAAAACACCTTGGTGGCTCCAGACCTATAGATTCACTAATGTGATTACCATCATTAGTGATGGTGTTTTCTTATTCATGACAACATCTATAGTTGCACTTCTTCAAAAGACAATACCCAGTTTACTCTAAAGGCAAATTAACTTCCTCCTTAAAAGAGCTAGCCCGATTTTCACTTTCATGTCTAATTTTATCACAGACCATCTATAGTTATTGCCTTTTTTCTCCCAGGCTTCCAGAAAAGCCTCCCAGGCAAATAATGGCAAGGAAACAACTCCAGAATGCTATCTAGGTTTACTATCTTCCACCTTCAGCTTCCTGGCTCATCCCAGGCCCCAGGGGCTAGGGTTTCTTAGAAAACTGTGTGGGCCAAACCGTATCCAATGGCCACTTTGCTTCCTAACATTGTAGCATAAGAGCTTGCTCTTTGTAAGTGATCTGAGAGGCCATCTCTTCCTTAGAGTGAAAAAGAGACACAAAGAAACCAGCTTCCTAAGGAGAGGAACACGGGTGCCTTGGGCACTGCTCTGTGTCCCAGAAGTCCCTCATCCATGCCATTGCAGGGCCAGGACAGAGCGCGCATCTGGTGATGGCAGACCAAGGTGGTATGGATACCACCTGCAGGGAGTGGGAGCAGAGGGTGGCAGGATATGAATAGGGACATTCTATGACATTCTTTTCAATAAATGCTCATCTCCTGGGTTTAGAGCCAACCTGGTTCTTTCGTGTGTGTGTGTGTGTGTGTGTGTGTGTGTGTGTGTGTGTGTGTGAAGGAGTTAAACACTCATGATAGCAGAGGTTTGGATTACCTAAAAACTAAACTAATTCTGAGAAGTAGGTATAAGTTTCTCATCACTTACCTCT